TACAGAAGCAAATGAAATATGTCAACTGATATGGATAAAAAATTTGATTGCTTATTCTTTATTATGTGTATGGGAGATTCTTTTTAAATGGAATATTTATCACACTGTAACAATGATTTTATGAGTTTGTACAAGCTAGACATAAATTTTTCATTTCACATGCTGAATACTATTATTTAGTAAATAAAAAAAAGTATTCCGGAAAAAAAGAAAATGGATCAACCGGGAATCGAATCCGGGATCTCTCACATGTGAAGCGAGAGACATACCACTACACCACGGAGCCGCTATAAATTTACGAAAATTATATGCCAAGATGAAGTCACATACATGTATATATTCATGTTCGATATTGTCAAAATTTTACACAATGCATGGTGTCTAATTTAACCTTTATTAAACAGTTCTAATAGATGTAATAAGAATATAAAGTCCGCCGAGAACCTGTTTAATGCGTAATAACTCTCCTCATGCCTCTGTGCTAAAAATAGCGACATGTAATATAATAAATACTGATAAAAAAAACGGGGCGGGACACTTTGAGAGGGGTGAGAGAGGTCCTAGGGAATTTTGGTATAAAATTACATTGCAAAAGCTCAAACTCCTCTTGAAATATCGCCCGGAAAGGATGGTGTTACACATAAACAGAATGTATAAATTTACGACCTTGAACTTTGACCTCAAAATCGATAGGGGTCTTTCTTACGCCACAGGGAGTTGTTATGTAAAATTTCATTGCAAAAGCTCAAAGGGTTCTAGAGATGTCGTGTTGAAACGAAAGTGTTATAACAGAGAGAATTTCTGAATTCATGACCTTGACCTTTGACCTTTTGACCTCAAAATCAAAAGGGGTCTTCTTTAGTCCATAGGGAGTTGCTATGCAAAATTTCATTGCAAAAGCTCAAAGGGTTCTCTATATATCGTGTGGAAACGAAAGCGTTACAGACAGACAGAATAACGGACGGACGGACAGACCCAAATTAATATCCCCCACTTTTCAAGCGGGGGAAAAAATAAAGACACCTGAGGAATATTTTAAATTAAAAAACATTTTAAATATCTTTGATAGTAACTCTATGGCAGTTGCCATAGAAACGGTTGTTTAGAAATGCAGGGGAGATATTCACACGTTTATTATCATTTTAAATCTTAATATGTGAAATGAGAATACAACCGCCCTATGTGGTATATGAAACGAAAATAATGTCATTACGATTGTTTGATCTTTTATAAACCTTGTGTGAGAGTTTTACTGGATATTTAGTTTATTAGTTGATGATTTATTGTTCATTTTTAAGTTGTTAGACAGGTCAAATTTCGGTCAAGTTTTGTGAAAATCCCGCGATTACTCTATCTTCAACGCGTATATCATTGATATAGGCTTGGGAAAATGCATTTTTACTGGTTTTATAGTGGCATAAGAAATTTAAGAAAAATAGAACTTCCATGGACTTTATCTAAAACTGTGGTCGCTTTTTGGAGGCTCTGTTTCAAGTGCGTATCCCCCTAGACAAATTGAAAGCGTTAATGAACGTTGTCAGCTGCCGTGTTGTTCTTGATATTGCTACTGAAATTGGAACATCATATGGAAAGATGGGTAGTATTTGAAATATTAGAAAAAAATGAAGACAAGAGGCCCAGGGGCCACATCGCTCACCTGAGCAATTGGCTAGGGAAAAGCACATATCAGATCAGAACTGAAAGTTTACTAAGGGCTGGGGGGGGGGGGCTTGAATTTTAACCCCCCCAGGGGGTCATGTTTTGAACAAACTAGAATTTACACTACCTGAGGATAATTCCCTATAAATACCGGTATCACTTAGCATGGCTTTGAAGTACTTGAAAAGAAGATTTTAAAAGGTTTCCCTATATATTCCTATGTAAAACTTTGATCGGCCATTTGGCCCCACCCTACCCGCGGGGGTCATGATTTGAACAAACTTGAATCTACACTACCTGGGGATGATTCCACAGGAGTTTCATCTTTCCTGTCTCAATGGTTCTTGAGAAGAATATTTTTCCTCTATATTCCTATGTAAATCTTTGATCGGCCATTTTGGCCCCACCCTACCCCCGGGGGTCATGATTTGAAGAAACTTAAATCTACACTACCTGAGGATGATTCCACATGAGTTTCATGTTTCCTGGCCCAGTGGTTCTTGAGAAGAAGATTTTTAAAGATTTTTCCTATATATTCCTATGTTAAACTTTGATCGGCCATTTTGGCCCCACCCTACCCCCGGGGGTCATGATTTGAACAAATTTAAATCTACACTACCTGAGGATGATTCCACATGAGTTTCATGTTTCCTGGCCCAGTGGTTCTTGAGAAGAAGATTTTTAAAGGATGCCATTAATTTTTCACCAATTCATAATTATCTCCCTTTGGAAGAGGGTGTGGCCCTTCATTTGTACAAACTTGAATTCCCTTCACCTAAGGATACTTTGTGGCAAGTTTGATTGAAATTGGCCCGGTGGTTCTTGAGGAGAAGATGAAAATGTGAAAAGTTTACGCCGACGACGCCGACAACGACGACGACGACAGACAACGGACAAATTTTGATCAGAACCCTAACAAAAAAAAATACTATAGTAAACTATAGTTAACTATAGTAAACTATAGTTTACTATAGTAAATCAAAGTTCCAAAGTTTTTACCATAGTAAATCAAAGTTCCAAAGTTTTCACCATAGTAAATCAAAGTTCCAAAGTTTTTACCATAGTAAATCAAAATTCCAAAGTTTTCACCATAGTAAATCAAAGTTCCAAAGTTTTTACCATAGTAAATCAAAGTTCTAAAGTTTTCACCATAGTAAATCAAAGTTCCAAAGTTTTTACCAAAGTAAATCAAAGTTCCAAAGTTTTCGCCATAGTAAATCAAAGTTCCAAAGTTTTCACCATAGTAAATCAAAGTTCCAAAGTTTTTACCATAGTAAATCAAAGTTCCAAAGTTTTCACCATAGTAAATCAAAGTTCCAATGTTTTCACCACAGTAAATCAAAGTTCCAGAGTTTTCACCATAGTAAATCGAAAGTTCCAGAGTTTTTACTATAGTAAATCAAAGTTCCAATGTTTTTTGTAGATACTTTAACAACTTATATATTTTAATTTAAGTTTATTTTTTATTAATTAAACTGTTTTAAGGGGGTTATATTGGGTTTGTTGGGGCTGATTTTTATTGTCCATCTTAATTCAAATAAGAAAAGTGATTGATTTAAATGCAGTGTGTTTATTTAACATTAGAAAAACATGTTGACTGAATTAAATGAAGCAAATATTTTGATTCTAAACGACTCAATTTTTATCTTCTAGTAAATTTTTTCTCCATAAATAAAAAAAAAATAAGTTTTATCTGCACAAATTAAAATTAAATAAATTAAATAAATGCTGCTTATTTTTCGGTGTAAAAGACAATTTTTACATTTAAACCATTACTTGTACTTTGTTCTATTTGGGGGACGATTCGGGTTTTGAAAAAATATTCTGAAGCTTTAATGCATCTTAACCTTGAAAGTTACAAAAATGTACAGAATAGGAAGCAAAACCATAATCCCCTTCGTTTATAGTGCTTAATCAAAGTTCCAAAGTTTTCACCATAGTAAATCAAAGTTCCAAAGTTTTCACCATAGTAAATCAAAGTTCCAGAGTTTTCACCATAGTAAATCAAAGTTCCAAAGTTTTCACCAAAGTAAATCAAAGTTCCAAAGTTTTCACCATAGTAAATCAAAGTTCCAAAGTTTTTACTTTAGTAAATCAAAGTTCCAAAGTTTTCACCATAGTAAATCAAAGTTCCAAAGTTATAACTTTGATACTATAGTTAACTATAGTTTACTATGTTATTTTTTTGTTTGGGAAAAGGGCTCAGGTGAGCTAATAAGTTGGTTCTAGAGGATACTCAGGCTTTTCTTTAGAAAAATAAATGGGGAAATGGGTAGCATTTTGTAGAATTACGTTGTCAAATTGGATATTAGGGCGAGATGCTTCTATAACGTGACGTGACATCTAACTTGACGTTACGTCGAAGTCTCCTCTGGGTTTCACAACCATCCATTTTCAGAAAGCTCGTGTGACCTTATTGGTAATTGGAAAGTGGTAAAATTTCCACATATCGTTGCATAATGACTCTATATTATGAATATGCCTATTGTTTGCTTTCATCAAATCACGATAAAATTTCAGAAAGAAATTCCACGTACTTTTGGATCAACCCTCGTACATAATTCAAACAAAATTGTAGAAGATATTTTTTATGAATCACAATCAATTTTGACTGATAAATTGTTTGCTGACAAGGTCATTGTGTCGACCATAGAACTTACAAAATGGTGACTTTAAACAAGACCGTTGATATTCTTGTTTCATCAATTTGTCAATTGTTTACCACGTTTTAGAAATTGTACATGCGTAGAGCATGCTCTTGCGTATCGAATCAACTAAGAGATATAAACTCCGTATGCAGGCGATGAAGGGTTAGTGCTGCATAAGTGAGGAATGTTGACGACTGAAAAGTTTGTCATCACGTTTATCATAGAGCTTGGTCGTTAGATTACCATTCACGTCTTTTTCAAGAAAAATATCCAAATATGAAACATGTGCCAGACTCTGTGGTAACTTTTATCTCAAGCTCACCCGGATATATAGTATCGACAATACATTGTCGAGTTGAAGGCCACACCAAATATTTTTTTTCCTTTTCACGCATAAGATTTTGCACAAATTGCTGCTTCGTATGAAAAGAAGAAAATGTCTGCTTATAACGAGGCATAATTGGTACCCATGGGAATTCCAATAGATTTTTGGACGATCTGGTCTCTAAAAACAACATAGACATTTTTTATCAGAAACTCAAGCATCTTTATGATGTCAACTTTTGAGTAATTGTGTTTAAAATCAGAATGTTTTTAACAAAATAATTTTGCAAATGACGAATTACATGGTAAGTAAATTTAAAGTTCCATTTTCATTGAAAAAGGAGCTGTCAATGATATAAAAACCAGAAGTCTCTGTCGAGACTGTAGCTCTACTGGTTTGTACTTATAACAAAGGATGAGAAAAGAAGCCATTGCCATCAGACCAAAACTGTAGAAAGAGTAGCGTTTTAAACGAATTTCAGACATTTCTATTTTTAGTAACAATGGCAACACTGTTCATCGAAATCAAAAACCGATGCACTATTTTATGTATCTTAGTGTAGTCTACTTGTGTGCCAAGTACATGTAATACTGAAATCAGACCAAAACTGTTGAAGGAGTAGCGTTTTAAAGGAATTTCACAGAAAATTCTATTTCTAGTAACCATGGCAACACCGTTCACTGAAATCAAAAACCGATGCACTACTTTATGTATCTTAGTGTAGTCTAATTGTGTGCCAAGTACATGTAATACTGAAATCAGACCAAAACTGAAGAAGGAGTAGCGTTTTAAAGGAATTTCACAGAAAATTCTATTTTTAGTAACCATGGCAACACCGTTCATCGAAATCAAAAACCGATGCACTATTTTATGTATCTTAGTGTAGTCTACTTGTGTGCCAAGTAATATTAAAAGCAGACCAAAACTGTAGGAGGAGTAGCGTTTTGAAAATTTGTTTACAGACAGACAGACAGATAGACAGACGGACAGACAACGGACACCTTACTATCGCATAAGTTCTTCTGGTCTCTGACCAGTAGAGTTAAAAACCTGGACTTTAAGTTATCGCGGGGAATGATTTTGTATAAAGTTGAAATGAACTTGAAGAGAAAATAAACTGTTCCTGTCCAGTGCTCTTAACCAACCCATCCCCCCCCCCCCAAAAAAAAAAAAATAATTAGAGTTTTGGACTTTGATGCTTTCTTTTTGCTTTTCCAGTTTTTATTTACGTTTAAAAGTGAAAATGAATAATCTAACTTGGAAAAATGTGCCCCCCCTCGCCCCTCTCAGAATCAATTGGTCGTCTAATATGAAATAGTCCGTGAAAATTTTTAAATTTCGATTTTTCTTACCGTTTTGGTCTGATTTCAGTAAAAACATGGTAAAATATTTATTTGATCAAAATGCACCATTCCATTTCTCGATTATTGTTTCTATGGTTACTAAAAACAACATTCTGACCCCCCTCCTTTCTTTCGGTCTGATTATTAGAAAAAACTCGACTTATCCAAGATACATATTTCAATACCCCACGCAACAAGTTGCGGGAGATAATGTTTTTGACCCGTCCGTCAGTGTGTCAGTCCGGGTTTTTTTTTGTCGGTGCAACTCCTCATCAACCGCTGAACAGAATTTCGTCAAACTTTGCAAATATTTAGGACACAATTTGCAGATGTGCATATTACCATGAAATTCCAATTATATTATTTTTCTGGGAATTTCGGCACTTCGAGTTTTGGGGGAGAGTGGGGAATGTGAGCTTGCTCACTTTTTCTTTCATTTTTTTTTTTACAAAGGATATTGGGTCGAGGATTTAAAGAATGAATGATGAAACCATGCTCTCTCTTCAAAGAACCTTATATAAATTCTGTTAACATATAAATCCCCCTTCTGATTTTGTCCGATTTGAACTATTTTTAAGAAAACTTAAAGGATCTCCCCTTTATCTGATGTATCTTTTCATTATCTGTCGTCATTTATACATGTATAATAAATGACAAATTCATACATCAAACTTTGTGTTTGCGTTACTTTAATATGGATGTGATATGGTCTACATAAATTTAGAAGTGTGTGCATAAAACTAGCTTCAGTGAACTTGTAAAATTAGTTAAATTACACTGGAGAACATAAAGGTATTTTATTTGTTAATTTCATACCAACATTTTTTCCCCTTGATATTCAAGTATCATCTACGAAACTTAAGTAATATTTGTATTTTATTTAATGCTTGGTAAAGTTGAACACTACAATTTCTGTATGTGGCCCATATTTGTTATATATTTGTTATATATACACAAATATTTACCAAAGACAATGTAATTTAATATAAATTACGTTAGTGATTTCACGATGATGTCCTTAATCACTGTCAGGTTACGGACCCAATGTCTGTGCTGGATATTCGGAATTTCATAGGTTTTGATTCTGTTTTGCTTATCCATGGTTTTTAGCCCAAAGGAATCTTCTAAATAAAACTGTATTCCACAAAAGAAAAATAAAACATGAACAGGACAAATTGATATCTAGCGAGGTAAAATTCGGTCAAAGTCATCATTTTTTCCATGATCGATCTTGTCTTACCTTTTGCTCTTTCATTCCTTGCACTTCCTCCTTTTCATTGTAGAAACCAAAGTGACTAGAAATATATACATAATTTTTTTTAAAAAAATCATATTATAATCGAAATATTACGAAATAGTATCCTTATTTTCTTTGGCATCTCATTAATTCTTTCGCACCCAATACAACTTCTCATTTACAAGATTAATTTAGTTACAATAATACCATATATCAAAATACTGCTAATAATAGAAGTGTATTTTATTTCAATGTTTTACCCTTGCTTAAAAAAAACTTTGGTTTTGGGGCAATACATTTCCGCTTTGAATTTAACTGAGTAGGTAAAAAAATCCGTGGGAACTATAGAAACTGATAAAATATCATTTGCATTAAAATGATACTTTATTTGAAATAAAAAAAGATGTTAAATTTCTTGGTGAAGATATCCTAAAAATTAGAAGAATAATATGTGGTTCAAGCCAACATTGAAGTGATGAGGGAAAAACAGTTAAAAACTTTACCTTGATTGCCACGGTGAAATCACATCGTCATTGGGACCACCAATCAGGATTAGGTTCTTTATCCGCAAGAAATTTCGTTTGTATTCTGAGAAAGAAAAAAAAAACGGTAAAAATCAAACATTGTGTATGATCGAGTTCATCCGATTGCCATACAAGTCACTAAATATTCATTTGTCTTCCTCTCTCTTCCTCTTTAAATAAAATTTATTAAATATAGCAAAATAAAACAAGACACCAGAATAAGACAAAGGTAACTTAGTATTTCACAATATAAACTAATTTTAGATCTAAGGGCAGATCACAAACCTGCATAAAAATACCATGGCATCAGAAGTATTTAGCGTAAGAATACTAGTATTTACATTAACATTACAATATACTTGTATTATGTATTTTCTACCTGTAATACTTGGCAACTTGGAATCATTGTTCAATGGAGCTTACATTAACATAACAATATACATGTACTTCTATTATGTATTTTCTACCTGTAATATAAGGCGACTTGGAATCATTGTTCAAGGGAGCCAGGAAGTTTGAAAACTTTGTATACAGATGTAGATGATGAGGATCTGAAAAATAAACGTGCTATTTCTGCTTCTTGCACTTCGAAAATAATCCAGCGAATCAAAAAAAAAAAATAGATTTAATCCAGTTTTCATAATGCACTTATTTTAAAGATGATTGACAATAAGATTTGATCCAGTGTTCACAATGCAATTATTTTAAACGTAATTGATCTCAAAGAAACCATAAGCAAAATTTTGTACCTTTCCAATAGTTTCCTAGAAAAATTTCTTGTCCGATCTTAGTGTACAGAAACCTACATAGAGCAAATGTTAATAATTTTTTTTTGTAATTATGTCACTATCTTAAAATTAATATTATAAATCAGAATCAGAATGAATAATTATACACAATTGTACAGTTTTTAGGATTATTAAAACGTTAAAAATTCTTTAGAACATTATTTTCTTGGATAAATAATCTGAAAAAAAAAAATGATTGTATTTTTATTGTGCAATAAATGTATAATATATGCCAAATACTTTCTTCGAGAAAATATTACCTGTAGGCATTATCTCTCACAAAATTAGGAAAAAACTTGTGAGTGAACTTCCAGTCTGAAATAAAAATATGATAATTATATTCATGATACATGTACCACTGCTTTTATGAAATACATACGTTACCTGTAAAACACTACGAAACGTAATTACCTCCAAAAATTCCCGCTAAAGGAGAACTTAAGGCTATAAAGGTGTTGACATTGTGATCTGGAATAGTAGACAGTAAGCCGCGACATACCAGACCGCCTGTATGGATGAAACACAGTACAGAATAGTGATATGAAGCTGTAGTCATGGACAATGAACGTTCATGCAGATATGAGGACAAATAGTGACAGTATGAATTAGACTGAACAACCTTATTTCTTAAACAGATTTTAGGCATAAACTTACATTCTTAATCTATATCACCTTATCTTTGGTACTTAACTCTATTAATGTCTAGGTATGATTTTTCACCAAGGTGTTTCTTAACTTAACATGACAAAAACATATGAGTAATTTATATACATAAAAGTCATGAAATTGCTACACATTTTATGGCTCATACCCTGTGAATAGCAAATAAGATGAATTCCTTCCGGATGAGCTTTCATGTATTTCAGTAGGTATGGTCTGACTATGTCGACTTCTTCCCATAGCGGTAACAAGGTTTGGAGATTACCGAATGCCTCGACTGCATAATATGGTGTCTTTGGATGTAACTGATAAATTCAATGAGAACACGTCGACTATGCATTTGCATGAGAAAAGTTTATTATTTTTTCTTTTCATTGATCCTATATTTAGTTAGAAAGGTCTTGATTCCGTTCATATAATTATGTAATATAAAGTCGTCTATGTCAAAATCATTTTCAACGTTTTGATTTCTTAAATTCATTTTAAAACACTTATTCAAATATAGAAGCAACTGTGGAATACTTTAAGGAAACTTTGGAGACATTATTTTCAGTCTCTAATATATAAATGATTCAATTCAACTTTATCTGATCATAATTTCTTACCTTTTGAAGGGTGTCATTGATAAGATTTCCATCTGATGACAATCCATTCAATCCATGAATAAACACCACAGCTTTGTACGCAGTTACGGGGTAAACTGTAAGCAATATCAACAACAGGAATATCATTTCCATTGATTCCTATTCAATGAATTCAGCACACACAAGTGGACATTGTAAGAAATGGGGAAGTTATTGAACATGTGATGCGGAAGTAGATAAGAAAAACTTTAAATGTTTAAAAATAAACACACTTAAAAATAAAAGGGTCGAGTTTTGTATTCCACCATATTTCAAGTGAAATACTACACCTTGTATTTCCTAATATACATCAATTATTGCTTCCAAACTTTTTAATTACAACAAAAAAAAAACTTCATGGCCTGGATATCGAATATCTGAAATATAATCCCCCATCATGTTCATTTTCACCAGATATTAACTATAGTCCTGCTGGACACGTTTGTACAGGTGACGTAAATATAGTTAATGAGAACCTTAGATCACTTATTTTAAAAGGTCCTAAATATCGGGAACCGCGATCCTTCAACCGGCGTAGGAATTTCATACAAATTATGGATTCTGTAGAAGACTACGCCAGGCGATAGCCCAGATATGAAAAAGAAGATGTTGACACTTTGTCAGAATGGATTAAATATATCAGATCCATGTTAAAATCGCGTATTAATATGAATCCTCAGTCCTTCTGTATTCAATAATGCAAGCATGAAAAGAGAATAAGATAGATTACATGATCTGTATGTACTGCTCCCTGCTGTCAAAGCAGGTAAAACAATTGTCTCTGTTGGTAAGGTATATAAATTGTAATTTAGAGTGATTGTATGTTTAACGTCCCTCTCGAGGATTTTTCACTCATATGGGGACGCCTACATTTGACGATGGGGAGCTACAAATTTTGTCCTTTACTCGGCACTCAGGGCCATGGAGCAGCGAGGGATCTTTTTTGTGCCAGCACCTACTGCGACACGGGACCTCGGTCTCCACGTCCCAAAGTGAATTTCGACTTAACTTCCATACTCTAGAACAAACACTCTAACCACTGAGCCCCACGGGCGTCCTGTTTTAGAAGAACTTAAATGAAACATTTTGAGTTTGAACAGTACTCAAGATTAAAAGTCAATAAAACAATATATACTGACACGCATAAGAAATGCAACAAGCAGTAATCTACAAATGTTTGATTTTTTTTATCTTATGATTTTCAAAAGCGAATATAGTAAGGCTAAACCCACTTTTCAGAACATCAGAAATTTGATAAAAATGTTAAATGTTTATCTGTTTACTTTACTAAATAAAATATGACTGTTAAAACACCCCCCTCCCAGCCATTCAAGTAAAACGTGCAAGACTGCCCTAAACAACAATTGCAGCCTAATTACTACGATACAATAAGTTCATTAATATCGAGATCTGAGCGAAGGAATTATTCTTTGGCATTTTTAAAAGTCCGTTTTTCAGATGATTAGGTCGAATTTTCTCTAACTTAGAGCAGTGTAGCCACCCTTGGATTTCCGGTACAAGGACTGTCCTTAATGCATATGATACGTAAGACCCTGTTGAGACGTAATGTAGTGAAATTTCGCATCAGCAACTCTCCATCACCTTTACATTGAAATTTTTCAGCTAGAGCAATGGAAATGCGTACATTAGCCATTTTCAAGTAGCCCTAGCATCGTTACGGGAAACGAAAGGAGAGTTTATTTTTTGAAATATTGCTGCATTCTTATGATGAAGAGTAAAAAACCATTAAAACTGCATAAAATTGCCAAATGATTTGTTAAACATTCAATTTTTGATTTCTGTTAAACAGACTCAAACTTGACTTCCGGTTACGGTATGGAAATCTTTCAACCGTTAAATTACCGATGTTTACCAAATTGAAGATATTCATAACTTTCAGATATAAAATTCTTTACTTTACATAACTATTTGCCCTAAAGTAGGGTGTTGCGTTTCTTTTGCGTGTCAGTATAAAAGAGGAGCAGAGAAACACGGACATCCAAAACATTAGAGGTGAAATCGGGAGCCATGGAGGAGTAAGCATCCCCTGTCGACTGGTCACACCTGCAGTGTCCTCCTTGTCATGATTCGGAAATAATGGAAAAAATTTCCAGTAAAAAATGTGCATATATGATGGGCTAACACTTATATAATTCTACAAGACTTAGTGGTTATACCACTTATACTCATAATTCCCTTCCTAAGGAAGAAATTCTTCAAAATAATATGTCAGTTTCGAATATTCCAAGAACCAAAATGAATTTGAACTACCATATCTATATTGGAATCCGAAACTTCATAAAATCCTCACAAAGATACATACCGGGTTCCAGTAAATGTTCAACCAAGCCTCTTTCTTTATTTCTTACTAAGATATTTCATACTTGGATATTTTACTTGAAAAAGCCGTATATGGTAATCTACATCTAACAACCAAGCTCTATGATAAACGTGATGACTTTAACTTTTTTTTATCGTCAACTTCCCTTACTTATGCAGCAATATATCTTCATCACCTGCATACGGTTTTTATATATTTCAGTTGATTCCATAGGCAAGGGCATGCTCTACAATTTCTTAGACAGTTTCTAAAACGAGGTAAATTATTGACAAACAAGTCGATGAAACAAGAATATCAGCAGTCTAGTTTAAAGTCATCATTTCGTAAATTCTTTGGTCGATACGACCTTGTCAGCAAATACAATTTATCATTGAGTCAAATGCTGACTGACGTTTTTCATACTTATTGTTAGTCCATTATTTATACACTGAATTGACGACGGATTTTTCCGTTATTTACCGATCATGACAAGGAGCACACGGCGTGTGTGACCGGTCAGCAGGGGATGCTCACTCTTTCATTGCACCTGATCCCACCTCTGATGTTTATACCCGCACTTTCTAAAGAAAGTTCGGGTATATTGTTGTTACTCATGTCCGTCCGTCCGTCCGTCCGTCTGTCACACTTTTCTTCCCTGAACTCCTCCTACATTTTACACAGTAGCTTAATCATCTTTTGGGAGATGGCTTGTGGGGTCATGTAGATGTGAAGTAAGGTTTTGGAATTTCGATTTTGCCCCGGGGGGTCAAATGGGGGTCGAAAAATGACGTTTTTTGTCCAAAAAGCCCCGTCTTCCCTGAACTCCTTCTACATTTTACTCAGTAGCCTAACCAGCTTTTGGGAGATGGTTGGTGGGGTCATGTAGATGTGCAGTAAGCTTTTGGAATTTTGATTTTGCCCCAGGAGGTCAAATGGGGGTAAAAAAATGACGTTTTTTAAGCAAAAAGCTCCGTCTTCCCTGAACTCCTCTTACATTTTACTCAGTAGCCTAACCAGCTTTTAGGAGATGGTTGGTGGGGTCATGTAGATGTTCAGTAAGGTTTTGGATTTTCGATTTTGCCCTGGGGGGTCAAATGGGGGTCGAGAAATGACGTTTTTTGTCCAAAAAGCCCCGTCTTCCCTGAACTCCTTCTACATTTTACTCAGTAGCCTAACCAGCTTTTGGGAGATGGTTGGTGGGGTCATGTAGATGTGCAGTAAGCTTTCGGAATTTTGATTTTGTCCCAGGGGGTCAAATGGGGGTCGAAAAATGACGTTTTTTAAGCAAAAAGATCCGTCTTCCCTGAACTCCTCTTACATTTTACTCAGTAGCCTAACCAGTTTTTGGGAGATGGTTGGTGGGGTCATGTAGATGTGCAGTAAGGTTTTGGATTTTCGATTTTGCCCCGGGGGGTCAAATGGGGGTCGAAAAATGACGTTTTTTGTCCAAAAAGCCCCGTCTTCCCTGAACTCCTTCTACATTTTACTCAGTAGCCTAACCAGCTTTTGGGAGATGGTTGGTGGGGTCATGTAGATGTGCAGTAAGGTTTTGGAATTTTGATTTTGCCCTGGGGGATCAAATGGGGGTCGAAAAATGACGTTTTTTATGCAAAAATCTCCATCTTCCCTGAACTCCTCTTACATTTTATTCAGCAGCCTAATCATATTTTAGGAGATGGTTGGTGGGGTCATGCAGATGCAGGTAGGTTTCGGAGTTTTTGCCCCGGGGAGTCAAATAAGGGTCGAAAAACGATGTTTTTTATGGAAAAAGCCCCATCTTCCCTGAACTCCTCTTACATTTTATTCAGCATCCTAATCATCTTTGGGAGATGGTTGGTTGGGTCATGTAGATGTGCAGTTAGGTTTCGGAATTTTGATTTTGCCCGGGGGGTCAAATGTCAGGGTTGAAAAATGACGTTTTTTATGGAAAAAGCCCAGTCTTCCCTAAACTCCTTTTTTGTTTTAAACAGTGGTCTTATCATCTTTTGGGAGAGTTCACTCTTTTGAAATTTTGTTAAAACATCAAGGTCAAGGGGTAAAAAATCATAGCATGTTGGGAGCCTCTTGTTATGGGTAATGTTCACTTGAAATGTGAAAGTCAAATCTCTTCTCAATGAAAAGGAAATACAACATTAATGAAAACTAAGTTAAACTTCAAGGTCAAGGTCACAGAGTCAAAAAGTCATGATACATTTTGGAAGGTCTTATCACAGGTAATATGAATGCCCTTTCATTTATCTTTCAAAATGATCAATTCAAAGCAATTAATTTTTTAAGGAAATTAGGTCAAACTTCAAGATCATGGGTAATGAAAATCATAGTGTATGTAGAATGGTATTGTCCCATTTAATACTAATACACATGTTTAATATAAAAGTCCTATCTCTTCTCATTCAAAATATACGACCATGATGACCATGCAAGGTTAAATTTATTGTGACAGATGGGCAGATTGACAAACAAATGAGATTTAATGTACCCTACCTTTAGCAAAAATGGGGACAATAAATGTCTTTGCTGTTCTTGAGAAGAAGATTTATGTTGGAACAAGATGTGTTTGTGAAACACTACGCGCCCGGCGGCAACAAAGTTAAAAAAATCTTCTTTTAGCATATTGATCACAGTCAAGGTCACAAGGTCATTGACCATGGTGTCATTGGAAAGAACTTAATCAGTGGAGTATGCGTACTAAATATGAAGTCCCTATCTCCTATGGTTCAAAAGTTGTGGCAAAAAGTGTAAAGAGCTATTTTTAGCATATCCGTCACAGTCAAGGTCACAAGATCATTGACCTTGCCGTCGTTTGAAAGGACTTTATCGGTGGAGTATGCATATCAAATATGAAGTCCCTATCTCCTATGGTTC